CCAGAGCTACCTAGAGCAGGGGGTTATTTGAGGGAAGCTGGAATATCTCATAGAACACAAGGAAGGATGCAGCTGACTTTTGGCAGATTCTAACACTTGCAGCTTTGCCTGCTCAAGGCAGATTGGCTCCATTCTCCAGGCACATGGTGGTGCAAGGCCAGATGAACATGACATTGATCACTCTCAAGGAACCAGATTTCCCTATTCCAGCTCCCGGGAAGAGTCAGCCTGGGTAAAGTGCCCTTCACCAATCAACTCTTCTCAGGTAATGTGGTCACAGAATGTAACCTTTGGTGAGTGACTGTGTGGAAAGAAAAAGCATTTTTTCAAAAAAAATGGCCACAGTGGGGTGGGGGTGGGGACAAACAAAAACACACGTGTGGTACAAAGAACTGCAGCTAAGCTGTGAACATTTGAACATGTACCTAAAGAGATCTTTTGTTCCCAGAAATTGGTTTTTCTTGTGCTCTTTAAGTTGAGGGTATATAACAGGTGCCAGAGTTAGTCTTTCGCAGTCTTCAGTCTGCAACTTCATCACAGTTTTGTGCTATCCTCTTATGAAATCTTGTGTGCTGTGTGATTTTATAACCACTTTCTAGAAGTCCTTCTACTCTGTGATGCATTGACTCTCTCATAGAAGCATTACGTTTAGGCTCTAACATGAATTGTCGTATTTGTTTCAATAGAGGGAAAGGGAGCATTTGTTTACTTGAAGTTTCCTTTAAAAAAGATGTGTGTGTGTGTATATATATATATATATAATATATGTATGTCTTGTAGAAAGTTAACCATAATTTCCCACCAGACGATGGCTATCGTCTTCTGTGTAAATGGGAACAGCTTCCATGTTGCCTTGGGCCCGCTTTGATGTTTCAGTTCTTTAGCACTTGCTTTGTTAATTCCTTGTGTTATCTGTTACAATAACAGGTGTGGTTACAACTTTCATTGTGTGACCTGTGATTGAAACCATCAGAGCCTCCATTTTAGGTGGAATTTACTGGGCTTCTCCTCGGTCTGAGTTATCCTCAAACCCAATCACTTGTCATTCTACTATTCTATCCATATGAAAATATTTATTTGGCTCACGCCTCTTAAGCCATAAATTTAGGACCAGGAGCTCTGGTGAAGAAACTGGGTAAACAGTGGTTTCAGCTCTGTTGCTGAGTTGCTTACTTTCTTGCTGATGGAAGGCTTCCAGGGAATTAGAGATGAACCGGCTGGTACTGTTCACCAGCATCAGTGACATCCTTCTTTAAAGTCAAAATAATTTGAAAACAGAAATCTTCTAAGGTTAGACAGACATGATAAGGTGAGACAATAGACCTTCATGTTAGCTCAAAGTATCTTTTTATGACAGTAGCACTTGTGGGTATCTTAAAGTGAGTTTCAATCCTTACCTAAGCAAAACAAAACAAAACAAAAAACAACCCAAATCCCCAAACCCTTCAGAAATAATGTTGACCTAATTTCTACAAAGTATAGTATTGAGTGTGGGCTGTGAATCCTACTGCCTGGGTTTATCGTCCATTTATTGTGCAACCTGACACTTAATTTTTTCCCTTTTCTATAAAACAAAGCTTAACACAGTGCCTCATGGGACCTCTGTGACGGTAACTGAGGTGCAGGATGTGACAGTATACCAGGCAGCTTGTTGTTATCGTAGCACTGAGCACAGGGAAGTCCTTGTATGTAATGGTCACAAATAAAAGATTTTTGAATTACAGAGGACATTACTATGTCTGGATATCAGGAAAAAATCTCCTTTAAATAGTTTGCAATATTAATGGAAATATTCATGAAACAGGAAGCCCGTCTTTTTCATGGACTTACTACACATTTTTGACCAACTACAATCAGAATGAATTTTAAAACTCAAAAAAATTTCAAAAACAGAAGCTTTAAATTCCCACATGCACACTCAGTTTAGCTGATTTGGAGAAGCTCTCAGTCCTGTGTTATTGTCTGTTGTGTTGAAATCATTGTGTGATCTGTGGAGTGTTTCCCCGTCCTTGATTTTGTGAAAATCTACTTCCCCCAAAGCAAGATAAAAGTGCATGTGCTTAGTTGAAGTGATAAAGTGAAAAACTGAGATTTGTTGAAAGGTGGCATGTTTTTAGTGTAAGTTGGGTGGCAGTACTGGAAAAATGCATCAAGCACACGCAGAACTTGAGATGAAGAAGGTGAAGTAAGACCTAGTTGGGGTGAGCAGTCTTCATGCATGCACAGTCATTTTTGTGACAGTAAGGTAACTTTCTCCATGCAGTTTCAAGTTATGGTTGTTCAGACCTACCGTATGTGTGGTATAGGTAAATTTAAGTACTTTTGGAATACTGAACGCTAGCATTCTGAGCCTTCCTGGGTTTTCTCAGTGGTGGTGCTCTTCTTGGAACCATGTACCTGTGGACACCAAGGGTCTACTGTATTCATCATTTTCTAGTTTCATTTCACCTTTATTATTTTCTAAGGATACAAGAATCCGATATAGGAAATCTTGTTTCTCACAGATTTGTAATCTCTATATTCAGATAATTAATTGGAGGTACCAACTAAATGGAGGTAGAACCTTATATATAAAACCTTTTTAAAAAGATGTCTGTGTCAAGAAGAGATTAGGACATCAGTAATACAGTAAAATGAAAACTGTGACCTCTACTAGAATGTTCATCCAACTACTGAAAAAAAAAGTGGGCACAATTCCAAATTATATTTTGGAAGTGTCTAAATTATTTCTAGTTTCTTAGAAACTGTCATACACCCCATTTCTCTGTTGACAGCAAATCTTTTCAAATAAAATGTCCACACTAGCTGTTCATCATTCTTCATCTCCCAACTACCAGATCTGTGTAACAGATATCATGCTTTTTTTTTTTCTTTTGTAATTCTGGGGCTTGAACTCATGGACTTGGCAGGTGCTCTACCACTTGAGCCACACCTCCAGCCCCTTTTACTTTATTTTTCAGATAGGGTCTCATGCTTTCTGCCTGGGTTGGTCTTGGACCACTATCCTCCAGCCTACCTTCAAGTAGCTGGAATTAGATGTGCACCATCACGCCTGGCTTGTTCTTTGAGAGTTTTTTTTTTTTTTTTCTGCCAGGGCTGGCCTTGAACTATGATCTTCCTACCTCTGCCTTCCAAGTAGCTAGGATTACAGATCTGGGCCATTGCACCTGGCCCTATGCATTTCAGAATTCATATTCCCAAACCCAACAAACTCACCTTTCATCTCCTCAAAGCCTTTGATGTTGGTTATCCCTTTTCCTGGCTTCTGTGACACATTCTCTGGTTCCCTATCTGCTTCTTTAGGCTGCATCTCTACCCCAATCTCTAAAGGTCACCACTGAGAAGCTGGCCTTCTCTGTGTGCTTCCCAGTGAACTTGGCTAGCAAAATGACTTGTAACACCACTTACCTACAATGACTTCCAAATTTGTACACAGACCTGGTTCTTGAGCTGCACACATAAGCCCCAACAACGATTTGGCATCTTTATTGAAATATCTCAGAAACACCTCAAATTTAACTTCCAGACAGAATGTTCAGGTCCCCACTTTTCCAAACCTATTCCTCCACTACACTGAGTCAGAAACAGGAAGTTACTGTCAGGTAACAAGTGTGGCTGCCAGGTTGGCTGTCACACTTCAATAGATTTGGCCAGCCAGGAAGACAGTAAAACCAAATAAATTTAGTTTCTTACAGATAGCAGAAGCAACAGCAGCATGGACTCAGTTCTCTGCCTTCCTTGTTCTTACCAATGCCTACAATGACGCTGAACCCAGGGGGCCAAGTGACAGGTGATATACGCATAGTGTAGGGTAGTTCTGTTTTTGAAGAGTCAACTGTAAACTATGCCAAGCAGTTTTATAGCCTGTCTATACCTGAATGGACATGAATTAAATGTTTCATGCCTCACTGGAACTGTGGTGTTGGATGAGAAGCTGATGGCAGCCTTCTGTGAGAAAGGGAGGAGGGTGATAAATGGCCCTTTGACAGCTCCTCTGAAGTCTGCCCATCTTGCCACTCCAGGAGCGATCCCAGGGCTTTATGCCAACACTTGCATCAGGGCATGGGTGAGTCCTGCCTGTGTGGGACTGTGAGCAGTGAGCAAGTTACTTGACTCTACCCCTTCTTTGATCCTCATATCCAACTCAGCAGAAAAACCCTACTAATTCTACCTCTAAATCTATTCTGAATTTCTGCGGCCATTATAAACCTAGACCACACCATGTCCTACAGGGAATACTATACATCTACTCTTGTCCTCTAACACAAAACCCATTCTTTCTATAAAAGCTAGCATCTATTGAAAAATGCAAATCTGATTGCTATATACCCTACAAAAAAAAAAAAAAAAGCCAGGGACCTTCTACTGTGCATCAAATAAAGTTCACTCTTAATCATGGCCTACAACGCTGTGCATGAACTGGCCTAACCACCCTCCACCCATCTAAGATCACTCCCCCACCATGATTCTTTAGTCACAGGTCTTTTTGTTCTTTGAATATAGCACTTCTTTCCTGCCTTGGGAACTGTGCTTGCTGGTCTTTGATTACAACAAGCTTCCCAGGCTTTCTCACAAATTTCAGCTTGAGTATCTCCTTGGAGAGGGTCCCCCTGATCTATCAAAAGTAGTCACCTGAAATCCCTGCCCCTCCTTACCTCTACCCTGTCACCTTGTATATTTCCTGTGATTTTTTTTATGTAATGTGTTTACTCACTATTGTCTCTTTCATCATAAGCAAAAGAGCAGGGATTTTGTAAATTCACCCCACCATACTCGGCAGATTCTCCAATGTTTGCTTAACAAGTATGTAATTTCTAGTGTTTTCTTATAAACATAAAGCAAAAAATTAATATTCTTTTTTTAGTACTTACACTTTCAAATTTAGTTCCATCTTCTTTTCCTAATTTTACCCCTTTTTATCTTCGTATCAGTTTTAATAACTGCAATTCAGGAGTCATAATATTTGCAACTTTAAAGGAGTAAAGCCAGTAATAACCAAATACTTTATTATCTTTAAATGTAAAAATGTGTTTATTCACAATCCTTGAGAAGTTACCATTCCTTCAGAAAATTCTTTATGAACAAAAACCCAAGAAACATTACAGTAGTAGCTTGTGCCAAACCAAAAATATACATCTCATGTGTATAAACTTTACAAAGCATTAACACAGGCAATGTGTATAGAGTACCTTTAAAATATTTCCACCAACATAGCCACAACTTAAATTAAGACAGATATAAGTAACAGCATTACCTAATGTACTATATTTACATATTAAAGTGTCATATTTATTTATATGAGATTAAAAAAGGACAAAAACTACAGATGTCATTACCTAGCAGTTCAAATATTGAAAGGGCCACATGATTTTTTTAACTTACAGCAAGAACATTAGTTGCTATTTATATCTGGACCTTCCTATGTCTTTGAGAACATGCAGTGTCCCTTGCAAGAGAAGCAAAGAAAAACATACTAAAGAAAAACAAAACGCAGTTTGCTTAACTAAAACAACACTCGATCATCAGCCAAATCAAGGAAAGCAATTAGGGAGTGTTTTATATCCTTGGCCTTTCATATTAATACATAAATTTTAGGGAAAAGTTAATTGTCTATCACAAAATGCATTTACATATATTGATATACTTAATTCCACCCCATTAAAACACTTTGTACTACAAGGCAAAGGAAAACGTAATAAAATTGATGGAAACTTTCATACCAGAAAGGATTTTACTTACTTTGAAATACCCGTATTACCTTTTCACGTTTTCCTTTCTTAAATTATTCAGATATGTTCTGTGTAAAATCTTTCTAAGATTACTCATTGGAAATACAGAAAATTTTTAAAAAATGACAGCTAAAAACTTAATTTAAAGCCAATACAGTGGTGTGTAAAAGGAAGTGAATAACATATACATACATTTTTAAATACTATTTTTCATTATCAACTTAAAATGTTCAAACTCTGAAGGTTTATTTTTATCATATTATCTTTTGTTCAGACTGAATCAACATCGTCATACTAGGATCTGCAATAGGCAGAAAGACAGCAACATTTCAGCATTTCTTATGGTCATCTACTCAAGTTAATTGTGCTATTAGATATCAAAATTTAAAGAAGTCACAGAAGTAACTAATGCTAGGAAAGGGAATACTATTCTAGATATAACCTGACCACCCTCCTCATGCCCCCTTCACATCTGCTGAGAATTAACAAAAAATACTTTGTCATTTTCACAGTTAGAAAATATGAAATAGGTTTAGTAAAGCATTCAAAGTAAAATAAAAGATTTTTTTAAATGTGAAAATATACAAGAGCAAACAGCAATGCTATAAAGAGTTAAATAACTGAATCGATAACATGACAGACCATTAAGCTGGTCTTGAAAAGCAGAAGGCAGATGATAAAATTGCACTTAATTCTGAAGCAGTTCAGATCTAGCCTATCAGTCCTACTCTTTTCTAATAAAATAAGCATTTACAACAGGGTTTCTTATCTCCCCCTTACAAAAAGGCTCAGCACAACATTTATACATTCTAGTTGGTTTTTTTTAACATTTGGTCATAACTGATAACAGGATTACACAATTTTATCCTATCGAATCTGTTGGTCTGCAACAGGCTGCTTTATGCTTAAGCTAGAATCAGACAGTTCCAGTACAGGGTTCACAAATCCAGAATATTCTGCATTGCCATTGTCGTCCATTTCAGCACTAACAAAGTCGTTCTCCCACTCCAGCCCGTTGGAATCATCAGAGGCTGATGTAGGGTTACTTCCCGTCTTCTTGCTGCTGTACTTAAGTGCTGCCCGGAGAATGTCTTCCTCTGTTTTGGAACGTTCTCTCATTGGAAGCATTCTATTCATTCCTATGATTTAAACAGTTTTGTTAAAGCAAACAAAATGGATGTAGGTTTTTAGTTGCTGTTAGTCTTACATGGCTAAATCAGCATCTCTGCCAAGGTCCTTTCCTACCCAGGTAATAGCTGCTCTCCCAGAGAATGGCAGTAGCTCCAATGACAGCGGTAACAACATGTACTTTGCCTGCACCTACTTAGTTCCTGTTTTCCTCCATGTAGTTCAAATATATTAACTGATTTAATCCTCAACAACTCTGTGAAATTAAGTACAGTATTATCATTAACCTCATTTTAAAGATGAAAGGTTACTGATTTGTGTAAGGTGACATACTACAAAGTGATGAAGTAGGATTTTTTTTTTTTCCATGCTGGGGATGGAACCCAGGGTTTCCTGCATGCTCGGCAAGAATCTACTGCTGAGCTGCACCCTAGACCTGAATGAATTTTAATTCACTCAGTCTGGCTCCAAATTTTGTGCTCTAGGATATCCTGACTCTACCAAAACAGAGTAGAGATATTTCTAGAGCAAACTGTTCTAGATCTAATTTTGAGCAGAAATAATTGGTGGTAACAAGTAAGTTTCAAAAATCTTGGAAGAAAAAACCCTTATTTTATTAGCAGAAAGGAGAGAGGGCATAAAAGAAGTTTAAATTTGTAAATAAAGAATCAATACTGGTAACAGAACTTAAATCTAGGATCAGCAAAGAGATTATAAGAGAATAGCTAGATACATTCAATGATTTTATTTTCCTAATCCTAAAGAATTAGGAAAAAGAGTATTTAAATCTGTATCACTGTTGCCTGTCACTCCTGAAAAACCACAAAGACTCAATCTAGTAAAGCAAGTTGTTTTTAATAAACAAGAGCTTATATAAAAATATGAGCTAGATACTAATGACATTTTGTGCATTCATATCAGGCTGATTTATGTCTAAAGGCAGCTGGATTCTGCATCAACCTACAAGCAGATTTCTTGTGGACTCTGTCCTCCAACTAGTCTGATTTAACAACTAGACCTAGAAAGTCATTATTTACTACAAATATGATTAGCACACAGTGTGGATGGCAAAATCAGTAATCCAAACACTTGAAAGGCTTTAGGTTGAACTGAACAAGGTCCTAGCATCAGAATAAGTTTAAAGTTTGATGACTGGAATCCAAATATGCAATAATATAAGTACAGGATTAGGAAAATGGTGTTTAACTGAGAAAAAATTAAGGAAGTTAATGCAATCTTTGAAGACATTATTCAGATTCTCTGCATCTCGGTTTCTTTAGTGGCAAAATAAAAAGAAATGAGGATGACTAGATTACTTAAGGTCCACTCCAACACAAAACTCTATGAAATATCTGATGCTTATTATTTTTCTTGAAGTTCTGTATCTATGAAAAATCTTTCTTGAATTGCCTATTTCTTAATATGAAAATGAAAACTTGGGGCCTTATTCAGCAAAACAGCTTTAAATAAACAAAACAAAAAAATCTGAGCTGCTATTGTGAGTATATAATAGTGCCATAGCCTATACTGTTTTATAAATTTAATCCTCACAATATTCATTTTTTTTGAACACTTATTTTTTTATTCTTTGTGTGTGTGTGTGTGTGATGCTAAGGATCAAACCTAGGGTCTCATGCTAATCAAGTGCCCTATCACTGTAGCTACATGCCCTGCTGTGTTTAAGTATTTTATTGATTGTCTACTGTGTGCCAAGCATTTTTAGAGCCCAAATATATGTATTATCCTTTAAGGTAGACTTATTCTCCTCTTTTTTACAATGAACAAACTTGTGGTTTAGAGAGATTCAGTAATCTACCTGAAACCCTGTAGTTTGGACAACATGCCAGCTAAAATTCAAACTCATTTGTGAGTTAACAGCTTTCGTTCTATCAAAAAAACTAACAAATAGCTAATTTAGAGTGAACCAAAAACTAATTAACTTTTTTAGATTTCCCACAAGGGGGCAGTAATCCTTTATACTGAATAATTTCATGGGTTAGATTACAAAAATCTCAAATGAGCATTTATTTTCAAAATCTCAAGAAACATTAAAAATTAAGCTATGTTTTAAATAGTTTATCAGTTACTAACATAGTAACAGTCTAGGAAGTTTTATTGATTTTTCAGGGCTTTGCATTCATTCAGTTGAAATGAAGTAAATACCAAGGCAGAATTATATACATCAACGCAGACTAAACTTAAGTTTTCAGGCAAAATTCTTAGTTGTATAAAGTACCTTCTTCATCTTCCCACTCTAGATCTAAGGATGTGCTGTCATCATTTCCACTGGTTGATTTGGTTTTCGACATTAAGTCGCAGCTGCTTTCTGTATTTGGTGTCAATACTGTAGCATCTGATGAGAGTCCTAGAATATACACCAAAGACAATCCAATGTCCCCTGTACTCTTACCACAACACTTTGTTTTGCAACAATGTCTCTCTCTATACATTACTCTCCCTTCAAACTTCAAAAGAAACAATTATCGGAATTATTACTTTGGTAAGTTTTTGTTAGAAATGGTTATGTAAGGACTTCTTTTTTTTGCCATCTAAGCATACCATCATGCAAACTTAAATGAATTATATACTTTTCAAATATGATTCTAACTGTCAATTATAAAGGAATGTAAGAAATAAAAACAAAAAAGATAAAACATGAAAGGCAGCCTATAGTCTCAAAAGGACACTAAATACATATAACAGTTTTGACTTGAAACTTGAAGAATCACTTTAATCATAATTGATTTCAATTTATAAATCAATTTACAATAAATAAGTACACTTTTGTACTTATTATTTATTTTATTTATTATTTTGTCCTACCCTACTCCCTTTCTTTTCTGAAGAAGGGATCAGAACTGAAGTAGAAAAAGGAGTACTTAACTCCTTATGTGGACACAGAGAAATAGCCTAACTATATAGGTGATACTATATAAGTAATAACTGGATGATTAGTTTATCTGGGCAATAGAAATAAAAAGGCAAGAAATTCTACAGAAAAAGAGACAAGATTTCCAGTTATCTGTTTAATGTGGCATAAAATGAACTGAAAATGTACAGAGAATGTTTTGAAAGACTTACTACTACTTCGAAAAACTTCATACTGTGACTTTATATTTTTCAAACAAGATTCAAAGTCGTCTTCTGGTCCTGAACTGTAATAAAAGTGAATTTTTAAATATATCTGTAGTATATGCAATAGAATGCTTATGTTAATGATGGCATTGTTTTCAAGGCCTGTTTCCCAAATTTATAACCACCATACAAATAGAATACTCTAATGAAAGTAGGTATTAGTTTTCTTGATTCTAGCATGAACCTGGAAATAGTCAAATTATGGCTAATTTTTAGTTAAATCTTCAAAGCTTAGCACTAAGTTCAACTTTAAACAAAGCATGAACAAGGTTTTTTGAATGAGTAGGGCTATTTGTGACAATGTGTCACTGAAGTGTCTTTTCCAAAGAACAATTACACATTAATTTTATTAAAAGAAAAAAGAGAGGCTAAGGAAAACACAAACAACTAGGTTATAAAAGGTACTGAGCCATTGTATCACTTTCTACATAGAGGATGTGGTTACTCTTAAAAATGCACTAAAGTCAATTTAAGAAAATGATCACTTTCCAACACACATAAAAGCTCTCAGTATTTTCCCAAGACAGCGTCTTACAAAAGCAGTGTTTTGCATTCTGGTGCTGGAGATCAAACCCAGGGCCTCCTTGTGCATGCTAAGAATACACTCTACCACTGAGCTATACCCTGGCTCTAGAGAAGCAATAATGTTAGGGAACAAAGAAATATGAATCCTGAGATGTTTGTAAATGCTCTCTTTTTAGTAACAGTTTCTACTGCAAAGGAAGGAGGAAATACATGTCACTCTTTACCTTTGATAGTCTCCATTGCCGGAAGGATGATACCGCTGCACAACTCTCTGCCTTTCTTGCTTTGGAAAACACAATATAATGCAAAATCACTCTGCTGTAAAATTCTGTTTTTAAAAACCATTCACACAAGTATTCTTTAATAGTTTCTAAAAACAAAAATTTATTCTGTTGATGTCTTTTTTCAATTCACCACTACTCAGTTCTGTATTCTCTTATTTATGGGTAGATTTTTTTCTTCAATTTATTCATGTGTGCTAATCCCAAAGTGCTTAGAATATTTATAGTGTTGTTAAAAAAAAAAAAGATAGCTTTTCAAATGATATGCACTGATGTCCTCAACATTCTTAAAATACTTTCTAGTAACTTGGTAGATGAGGGCAGGAAAGGAATGGTTAGAACAGTACCCAAAGATCTATTCTGTGTGAAATTAGCAATAAAATAAGGTCTGGCTAAATTGATTCAGATATAAGAAAGCTGATTCATCATCCTGGACTCAGGATTTATAAGAACTGTCAGAGTTGTGGCTCTGAGAGTTACTAGCTGTGTGTCCCTGAAATGACCTTTACCGTTTGCCTCGTCATTTGTAAATTACAAGTGACTACATACTTCCCTAACAGACTCAGGATTACTATGAAAAACAAGTGAACTGATACATGCCTGTGTATATCTGTGTAAGTGTATGCTATATAGATTATGTATTTCTACAGTGAATATTTAGTCAGGGAAAGAAAAACTCAGAGAACTCAGGAAGTCACCCAAATAGATGTAGCATATGGAAGGTAAATCTTTCAAAGGTAGGCAGAAGAGAATTTATTACGGAAAGAGAACTTATGCTGTGTCCACAAATACTTTAGTTTTATAGAAAATGGAAGTTAATTTTTAAACTTTGTCACTATTTAGAATGTACCTAAAGTAAACTTCCTCATAAAATTTTATTTGCAGCAACCTCCCTTCCAAAAAAAAAAAAAAAAAACAGAAGACACAGCTGACATACAAATCACGTAATATGGAGACATGATTTTTCAATTTCTGACTTTTAGTACACGGCACGATCGATCTTTGTACTACTTTCAGTAACACTACGGCAGTGAATCCACACAGGCAAACATGGAGGAAGGTACTAATCCACTGGCTAAGCACTGCCGTGCTTGAACTCTGGTCCTGCCATATATTAGCCATAGGCTCTGGAGAAAATTGTTTAACATATCTGTCCTCTAAGATTGGTGTGAGGGTTACACACAAGTAAACCATTTAGAACTGTTCCTGACACTTGGACCAGTGCTCTTTAAATATGTTACTGATAGTTGTTTTAATGCCATATTCCCACATGACATGGAAGATGTGGCAAAGCTGCTGCCTTTCCTGATAATATGGCAATGATTTCTCAATACCTAAAGTCTCAATCTCCCAAAGACACAAGAATAAAGATAAGAAGTAAATAATATCCCTATGGGGCAAAATCATACAGCTCATCTGATTCTAAGAAGTATAAGAAATTCTAGTAGTTAAGGAAATTTTCTTTAAAGTCACAAAGAAACACTACAAAATGCTTTTGAAACTGTATTTCAAGGCTAGTTTCAGAATGTTTTTCCTCTAAAAACATATTTATTTTTCCAAAACAATACTGAATTTTGGAGCACTAAAATTCATCTTTAGGATAAACAAGAATTAGCTTCTGCTAATCTAAAGTTAAACAACATTCAGTATCAAGCATGTAATGTTATGTTACTTCCAGCAGTTAGATTGATTTTCCTTTAAAATTCCAAGGAATACGTGCATAAGTACATTCACTGTTAAATAGAAGCCACTGATTCTAGGGGGAAAAAGTCCCAACTCGGATTTGTGAGAGAAAATAAGGAGAAAAGCAGCCTGATGTACGTTGGGGTCTTTTCCCCTCACCTCCAAGAGCTTTCGCTGCTTTGCTGCCCTGGCTGCTTCACGCTGTGCAGCGTATAAAGCTTCTTCTTCTAGTCTTAACTTCTCTTCTTGTAAGGCTAACTGTGCATGAACAAAACAATAAGGATTAACAAAAATCAGAACCTGTCTAACTGCTCTAAACAAGTGCTTTGATTTATAAAATAAAAAATAAACCACTAAAAATAATCAATTTTTACAAAGGATATTGGAATTGATATTTTTGCAGTTGCTTGTTGCATTTTTTTTAAACTAAAATAACCCAGCCAAAATGAAAGACATCACAGAATCCTTTAGACACTGAGTTATGAAGCAGGAAGATCTAATTTGTAAAAATACAGATGTCTATTTCTCTAGAAAATGCAATGGCCCTCATTTCCCACCACCACTCCTACAGTTATCGCCCTAATTAGTTTAATGGTTTGGGCCCGCCTAAGTCAAAGGTACTTAAAACTAAGGCCAATTATATTGCCTTACTGAACTAAGTGAACTAAGCTTTCACAAATTCACATCTCCTCATCTAACTGACATTAATATACATGTCCCCCTAATTTTATCACTACTAAATATTCAAAAATTACTTTTAAATTTAAGATCTTGCCAATCACAATAGCATACATACTGCTTTAATGATAGGTACTGCATATCAAATCTAAGTTAAATCAAACATCAACTCATTTTTTCTTTAGACAAATACTGACATCTATTGTATAGCTTAAGTTAATGCATTTGAAATCACTAACTGGGGCTGGCAGAGTGGCTCAAGTGGTACAGCACTTGCCCAGTAAGCATGAAGCCTGGAGTTCAAACCCCATATTGCCAAAAAAACCTCCTGGTACCAAGTTGTACGCATTTGTTTATTTAGCAGTGCTGACCTTGTACATGCTAGGCAAGTGATCTATCACCAAGGTATAGCCCCAGGCCTTGGTTTTTTTGAGATAGGGTTTCAAAATCTAGCCCAGGCTGGCCTCGAACTTTTGATCATTCTGTCTCTACCTTTTGAGTGCTGGGATTATATGTGTATCACTATGCCCAGTTCAACAAACTTTTTAAATGTAGAATGGAATATGACTAATTTCATTTAGTTTAGTGATAGCAAAGCTATAATTACATGCCATTTCCATAAATATATAAGTGTAACATTTATATTATGAGCAGTATTTGGTTGAATAATAAACCTAAGACAAACAAGAGACTTAAACATGACATTGTGAAATAGGTAATTTGTTAAAAAGTTGATTTTGAAGACAAAAAAATGCCATGTTTTTGCTAGCATTCCTAGTTGGGAATTATTTTTAAAAGAACGTACTGTCATTATTTGTCACCATATTACCTCTGATAAATGAAATCAAATTAAACACTGGAATAATTTTTTTCTGTCACTTTTACTTGCATATATCTAGGTATATGTCCAGTGACTGCATGCAATACATTATTTAGTGACAACTCTTCCCTATAAATGGGGCTTTATGACAACATGAATACTTACCTCTTTTTGGATTTTCTTATCAAGATCTTCCTGCTTTTCAGCAATAGAATCATAATGCCTCTCTCGTAAGTCGACTATTTCTTCTTCAGTAAGAGGCCTAGAGGAAAAGAAAGGATGGAGGGAAGAAAAAGAAAAAAAAATATGATGAACCTGAGTCCAAACAAAACACTCGTAAGGCCAGTGAAATTCTGAAATTTTACTATCAAAAATGTATTAAAGCAACCTATAATTCTTAGCACTCAATATATTGTAATGTGTCAGTTGAATAAGATGACATAACACCAGTATTTTTTTGCACTACAGCCACTGTTTAAGTAATATGAATTCTACTTACTTCTGCCATCTAACCTAAGGGTTCATGTCCTGGATCATACTCTAAAATACTCATCATAAAACACAAACTTCAGTACACTGCACCCAAACATCAGCTCTCATACATTCAAAACTCTTAATCCTCCTATTTATCCTGTTCCATTATCCTGGCCTCCCCAGGCCTTGATTCTTCTCCTTCCTGGTCAATAGTATTTTAACTTACACAGGTCATCTCCCCCTCCTCATGTCCTATGTTAACTACTTCAAAATCTTGACATGCATCTTTAGATTCTTATTGTAACTTTTTAATTCAAAAGACAATTTCACTCCACTTCCACTTCCCCACTTACTTGGTCCTCTAAAGAGGTTATGTTCCTTAATCTGCCCAAGGTCACCCACTACACTTAACTCTTGATTCATTCATCAATAATGCCCCTACCTCACTCCATGGAGTTCCACAGGAACCTGCCCCATCAATAATCACCTCTCTTTTATCTTTACCTCATTCCTTTTATCTATTTTCACCTCTCTTCCATACGAAGGAAGGAGAGAAGAAAGACTTAACTTTCTACTATTCCCTTCTCCTTTTTCAGTTAAAATTCCTGAAATTAAATGCTTAACATCCATAGCTTGCACCTCCAGAACCACCAAGTGCCAGATTCCAATTGCATTACACATACTAATTAATTTGAATCCTTCCAACAACCATATAAATAGGTAGAGTAAGCCTGCCTTATTCTTCGATTTATTATACAAGGTTTTGACCTTATCAAACATAAAACATTTCAAAACCAAAAAAATTTAATTCCTGCATGGGCGCTATGCCCCTCAGCTGATGCAGAGCTGCTCTCAGTCAGCCCTGCGTTATTGTCAATTGTGCTGAAATCCTTGTGTGATCTGCTGAGTGTTTCCCTGCCTGGAATTTTGTGAAAATCTACCTTCCAAAAAGTACATGGTGCCCCAAAAGCAAGGTAAACGTGAACATGCTTAACTGAAGTGATAAAGTGACAATATGAGATTCGCTGAGAGGTGGCAAGTTTTTAGTGACGTTTTTTGGTGTCAAGGGGAAATGAACTGAGCTTCCACTGTATGGCACTGAGCTCACTGCACCCTGAGCATGCACGCTGCCTCCTCAGCAACTGTCTCCTGGAACTATATGCCTGCAGATACCAAGGGTGTACTGTATGGTGAGTACATCTGAGGGAAATGAGACAAGACAGATTTTAGAAGCATGTGTGAGTACGTTGCATAGCATGCAGCAGAGCTAGAATTTCAATCCAGGTCATCTGGCCCCTTGCTCCTAACAACTGTGCTTCTTCTGCCTTCTCCACTCATTCATCAATTCACTCAGTTCACTTCTGTTGCCATTACTTCCAGACTGCTGGCAAAGGCTATCAATGTCTCTGTATTGCAAAATACGAGAGAATTAAGTCCTTATCTTATTACCTCAGTTTCATGTGACAGTGCTGAGCATTCCCTCTAATCCATCTGTCTGTCTGTCTCTACCTTCAAAGTTGCTGCCTTACCATCCCAAGCTCTCCTGTTTCTTCTTTTTGCCTACTTTGTTATTTTCTGGTTCCTCTTTTAGCATTGGTCTATTCAACTACCCAGACCCCTGTTCTCCAGGATCCAAACATCCTCCCCCAACCTTGGCCCCAAGTATATGATCTTTTTTTGTTTTTTTATGGTGGTGGGATCAAACTCAGGGCCTGGTCCAAGCTCAGTGCTTTACTACTGAGTTACACCCCAGTCTAGGTAGGTAATTGTGGGTAATTATCTCGGTCAACTAGGCACGTATTAGGTAATGTTTCTTTCTTCTATTCTCTCGTCTAGCTCTTAAGTTCTATCCAGCCTTTTTTGTTTCTTTCTTTGTAGTGTAACTTAAAATAAAATACAAATTGTAATGCTGGGCTTGGTGATGTGCATCTGTAATTCCAGCACTTGGGAGGCTGAAGCTGGAGGACTGTGAACTCAAAAGCCAGCCTGAGCTACATAGTGAGACCCTAACTCAAGAAAATCAAAAACAAAACAAAACCAATCAAAAACATTTCACCTCACTTTATTAAGTTTTGAAAACTGTGTAACCTCCACTCAAAGCAAGACATAGAACATTTCCATCACCCTGTGTAGTTTTCTTGTGCTTCCCTCTAATCAACTCTCTCACTTTGCATGTGCAATTTCTTGTGTTTGGAATGTTCTCCATGCCTAACCACTTCTTGTTTGGTGGTATTACAGTTTGAACTCAGGGCCTTTTGCTTGCTTTTCACTTGCTTGAACCACACCTCCAGCCTTTTTTGCTCTGGTTATTTTTGAAATAGGTTTTGACTTTTTACTTGGCCAGCCTGACCCATGATCCTCTTATTTTAGGCTTCTGGTGGGAAACTGGAACTGGGATGAGAGGTGCCTGACTTTTTCTGTTGAGACAGGTCCTTATGAATTTTTTTTGCCTGGGCTGGCCTGGAACTGCAATCCTCCCAGTCTATACCTCCCAAAGTCTACAGATGTGAGCCACTGGTGCCCAGCTTTAATAAACCCTGCTAACTAATTCTTCAGGATCAATACAGGTGTGAGCTCAGAAGTCTTCATGGACATACCTCTCAAGCACATTTTGGGCACAGGGCTTCTCTCTAGTGTTTCCTAGCATATTCTACTACTTCTATTTAACAGCTTTCTCTACCTCATATTGAAATGTCATCACTTAGAGTAGGATGCTCTTTTTTCTAATATAGAGACTAATGTCTGATTTATTTTGATTTATTTTTGGTGGCCTTGAACTTGCAATCCTTCTGCCTCCACCTCCTGCATGCTGAGATTATAGGTATAGGCCACCATAACTGGGCCCATGTCTGAGTTTTTAATACCAGTGGCTAGCACAGTGCTTAGCAAATGACAGTTGCTTAATAAATTTATTAGCTAAACTGAAAAAGCTAAAACTGAAAAAAAAAAGCAAAAAAAATATTTTGTATTTTTACAAAGTAATATGGAAATATTCTCTTGACACTAAGAGCTTTCATTTGAGTTAAAGAGAGCCACTTCTTTTTTAAGTAGCAAATACAATTTTCATAATATATTAAAAATAAACTATAGTATCAAGGTTGTAGTTACTTTTGAAGTTGTAGAAATCTTTTAATTAGTAGAACAAGTTCTAGAATGTCATAAAGAAGGAAAAGGGGGGTATAGTTAAAACACTGAAAAGAAATGTATTTATCAATATTAAGTGGCTTTAAGAAAACTTAAAAATATATAACTTAGGTTTAATAGGAAAGTACCAAGACACAGACATATATTAAAATTTTAGATGTTCAAAAAATCTTTTGAGAAATTATTGCCTCAATTTCACAGAAAGTTATGGTGGCTCAAAAACACAAACTGCTCAATGTCTCAAAGCAAATGATAAAGCCTGAATTCTTATGAGAGCTTCTTTTAGTTCACAGATGGCTGTTACTGTTCTTTTAAATTCTTACCTATGACTGCTTCCTGGGCTCTCCCCCTGCATAAAAATTAAACAAATAATTAAACCATTTTTCACTAGCTGAATTCTATTTAAGGTAAGCCAATAAAATTTCATTTTATCGAAATACTTTATACTTACTTATTTCTGTCATTGTAAGAAACTTCATTATTAAGTGTTTGAAACAATTTTTTAAAAATTTTCCTTAATGTTTTCTAACAACTATTTGTTCCACACCAGATGAACTTTAGTCAGGATATACCAGACAACACATTCTCCATGTTCTCACCACTTATTCAAAATTTGTAAATTCACTTCTTGCTAAAATGTATTTGTAATCCCCAAGTCAATACTCCCTACATATTCATGGCCATTTGAAAATATGCACAAAACAGCAAAGAATTTGAGTTGCCTGAAAATGTACATTCCTAGCGGAGGTGGGACAGGCATAAGTCTGCCTTCTTTCTCAGTTCTCACGCTGTGAGTCAGTAGTACTTACACACGTGACATGTTGCTTGCATTTTTGTGCTGCTTTTGCTTGTGGGGTCACTGTTTAAAACAACCCCTAAGTGTAGTACTTAATGCTTGTCCATTTCCTTTCCTAAGCACAAGAAGGCTGAGATATATCTTATCAAGAAAATACGTATGTTAGGTAAGTTTCATTTAGGCAGGAGTTAGTGCTGCTGGCAGTGAGTTCAGTTAATGAGTCAACAACATTTATTTAATAAGATGTCTTAAACAGAATCACACATAAAACAAAGTTTTGTTTTCTTCCACAGCATCCTAAAATTAGTTTTTTTACTCCAATGCAAACTACAATTACTCTGATGACTAATTTGGGCTTATGAATATTTCTTATACATTGAAACTATTCATATCTGAAAGTTAACAGTAGGTATAAAATTCTAAATGGTCCAAATTAGTTTAGGAAATAGCATTATAAAACAGGATAACATTCAACTAATGAAACACAAAATGTGAAAGAGAGGAAAAGATTGGTTAGCAAAAACAAGAACAGTAATAATCCCAGCTACTTAGGACGCAGAGATAGGGAGGACCGCAACTTGAAGCCAACCCTGGGCAAATAGCTCATGAGACCCTACCTCAAAAAAAAAAAATCATAAAAAGTGCTGGTGGAGGTGGAGTGACTCAAGGTGAAGGCCCTGAGTTCAAACCCCAGTACCAAAAAAAAAAACCCAACAAGAAGAAGAAGAAGCATGAGGCTGAAAAAACTCTGTTAGAAGCTTTGAAAATGCTATGTCCAGCACTTCCTCACAAATTTTTCAAAGAAAAGGACATGTAGATGAACGTGATCTTTGGGAAAGAAGGAAACTTCTCTGAGTGTTATTTTGCTTGGAAAATAAAAGGCTACGACAGTTTTCTAACTGTGTCTTAGCAGATGTTTTTTTTGAGACAGGGTGTTGTTTTGTATCTCAGATTGGCCTCGAACTCACATTCCTCCTGCCTCCACCTCCCAAGAGCTGGGATTATAGACATATGTCACCATACCTGGTCCTGAATACGTTATTATTTTAAAAAATCTTCAAATTAATTTGGGAGATGCTGAGTTGCACAAGATTGAAATGATTTTGTTTAATAACAGTTCTTCTCAGAACCTTTAATATGCTACTTACATTCTGAGTCTAGTATTCTATACTATACACACTCTGGGAAATGCTGAGCTAAAAAATAATTTAAAGAAAAGATCTGATCCATTTTTTTCTCAGAAAGTAAAAAGGCCAAAAAGTCAGAGCTTGAGGAGCTCTTTTCAACTAGCCAGTTTTAGAGACGTAAAAAGGAGTTCCCAGGGATGGTAAGTAATTTTCACAAACTCAGACAATTAGTTTAGTAATCTTAGAAATTGGCATACAAACTAAAGCTCTCTTAACTATGCCTATGAGTAACCACATTTTACTAGCTCTAAAGTATACTGTTTTCATATTTTAACAGTTCTGTACATAGAATGCATCTTAAAATTGAGTTTTACATGAAATAAGATGCAGAAAAGCAAAATAAAGAATAACTAATAAGAGGTAATGGTAAAGTCAGAAACTGACTGCAGAATAAACCCGAAATTCCATCCTAAGAAATTCATGAAAACTATGGTAAAGAGGGATGAAATATCCCTTTGTGAAATTCTTTGAGTTTTAAAAGACTTGAAAATTTCTGTGTCTGTGTACAGTATAATATACATTATATGGTAGAGAACTCTGAATTCTTGCTATTAAAAATTAACAAAAGAAGGAAATGATACTGAAGGGAAAAAAGTAAAAATAAAAATTCTAAAATAAAACTTACAAAAAATTGTTAGAATAATGTGATGACTAATGAGAACAACAATATGAGTTTGTATTACCATGGGAATACTTACTTCATCACTTTCTACTAGATTCTCAAACTGAAAGAAAAACAAAATCAGTGTTAGGAGGGATATTTGTCTTAAGACACATACTTCACAAGAAATTGTCACTAAGACACTTACGTCAAATACCTTTTACACATTAGCACATTTGATAAACTCAACACCTACAAAGTGGCCAAGGTAAGCATATACTGTTTGTACTTGTGATTTCATATGAAAAAAAAATGGAGAATTACAGCAATATTCTACATAAGGTAGAAACAGCAGCATAAACTAAAACTTTTACCTGGAGGGAGAATTTCATGTATTTTAAACCCATACAACCAGAATTTTCTACTTCATAGGAATTTGGAACAACTTATTTAAAATCATAAAAAGGAAAGTTACTCAAGAAACAGAGACAAAAAAGATACCAACATAAGAATTTTCTAAATGTTTATATTTATTTATCTACTCATTCAAATAATTAAAACTGAAAATCTGAGACAGTGGTTGCTATCCCCAATATCTATCTCTACATGGAAATGTGAGCAATTTAATTATAGTATGATAAATGCTATACTGGAAGTCATTATTATTGTATTACTAAAATATTTGTATTTTAAATATAAATGTCTTGACAAGTAACTACCTGAAAGAAAAAATGTTTTATTATATTGTTTTGTTTAAAGTTGAATGGAAGGAAACAATGAATTCGAAAAGTTTAGAAAATAAAAATCTAAAGGGATAACAAAGCTGTTCAAAATTAATTCTTAAACTTATTTTTGTATTAGTTTATGATCTTAAAAAAATCTAATTCCTAGTTCACATGCTTTCTTATTTAATGTAGGAGGCAGTGGAGTACAGTGCTCATGCTTTGCACCTAGACAGTTCTGGACTGGGACTCATTTTCTGCCAACTTTCAGGTTATATATTATAGTCCAATTTCTCCACTTGTGTAAGCCTCTAACTTTTCATCTATAATAGGGTGACTACTACCTGTTTACAAAAGAGCTGTAGCAAGAATTGTGTGCAATGGCATTCCTTAGCTATATGGCAAGTGCTGGAAAGTACACAGCAGAAACTGAGCAAATGGTAGCTTCTACTGCTAGTTTCACATATATAGAAAAAAGCAACTCTGATTCTGCTGTGAAGTTGTGTGAAGTCAATTGTTGCTTTGACGCTGCTACACTTTTCTATTGGGGCAGTCAACTGTCTGTCTGCAGAACCATTGCCTCAATAAGCCAGTATAACTGGCAGAAAAGCACCTTCTTCCTGAGTAGTGTAAGGTGAACCTAAATCAAATCCATTCAGGATTGAACTTTAATCTGCAAACTACTCCCTATTTATATTTACTCTTCCCCCCACTGCTCCAAGTCTTTCTTCACTAGACTTGACAATATTGAAATAAAAACAGTCCATACTAAATATGGGTCTGAATCCTTTGCCCTTATCTGCCCTTCTAAAAGTATTTTTAATCCCATCAAATTCATGACCCTACTTACCTCTATAGTTAAGTGTTCACCTCTTGAGCATGTTCTAAAATACTTGGATCTAGGAAGAAAAACAGAAAAACAACTTAAAAAAAAATCACAATTATCCATAAAACTTAATTAATAAGATCATATGAAAGTATTTCCTCAAGAGCAGCTTTTAATCTAATATAAAATACCATGTATTTATGAAAAGGAATCAAATTTACCTAAGACTATAAATAGCCTATATTTATAAACACAATTATGAGTTTTCAGTGTCTAGTCAATGATATTTCTTTTTATTAGTACTAATATTTACTAAGCCTGGAAAATTAATTAATTTACATAATTATATAGAATAGAAGGCAATTACATTTTAAAATTTATTTCATTTTTACTGCATCAAGAAAAATATCTTGTTAAAAATACTGTTTTCTGGGCATGGTTGTGCATGCGTGTAATCCAATCCCTTGGGAGCCAGAGGCAAGAATACCTTGAGTTCAAGGCTGCAGAACAAGACCCTGTCTCAAAACAGTAATAAAGTATATTAAATAATACAAGTATGTTCTTAATTTTGTTAAACATATGCAAAATATCCAAAATCTAAAAGTGGCATATACCAATATACTAAGAGAAGTTATCTTTAAATAATGGAGTCATATCTTTATAGAAGGCTTTTCATTCTCTTGCCATGTCCTCAAAAATAAAACAATGCATATTCATGTTAACCAAACTCATTACATTAATTTTCCAAGTAGGGCCAAATACTGACTTTTATTTTAGTCATCTTTTTCTGCTCCTCATACAGAAGCTTACACGCAGTTAAATAGCATCTTCTTTATTATGCCTACACTACCTATTACAGTAACAAAGCTAGCCTAGCACAGAGCCAATTCAAATTCCTTTAGTACTGCAAATGCCAGGAAACTGTGAGACATTCACTTATGATGTGTTTCTTTTTATTTATAGCTACCAAAACTGATGAAGGAAAGGCTCCTCCCGCCACCCACAGGAATCCATAGTCACTCTTAGGGTTACTAATTTGTCAGAATTAGTGGACAAAAAGCATTCCTTTAAGAATAGGAGACTCTTGAGTTTAAGACAGGTCTGAATGTGTAATGTGTATATGTTTGCATGGAGAGGGCTAGTAGGTTTAGTGAAAGAGAATGCCATATTATCATGCCTAAAGAAAAAAAAAAGCAATAAATTAGACAGCTGCTGATAGATATAAAACAGTTGGTGTTGTTTTGTTTTTTTGTGTTTTTCTTTTTGTCCAGGGATCACTGGCAAAAAGTAGAGAATTCTGTATTGTAATTCCATAGATCTCATGGAACATATCCAGTCTGAACACAACAATCCCCATAATCCTCTGACCATCTAGGGCCTCCAATCTTATCTAGTTCTCATTTTTCAAACAAAGCAGAAGTGAGCTGTATTCTGGCACTAGGATTTCTTCTTCTGGTGCTATGTGCTTCTCTCTCTAAAACCATCACTGTTTTCCCTAAGAATCTGTCTCTGATCAATCTAGTTCCTCTTCCAAGCTTAGTGAGTGGTGTAAATGAATAAGGAACAAAGTTCAGTAATACTAAAAAACTCAATATAAACAAGCCATCATGTGAAATAAAGCCTAAAGCTAAGAACACTGTCAAAACAAAGGGAAGTATTGCTGCATTATATTTCCACTGGATGGCAGAACACTGTATTCTGTTTAAACCTTACAAGTTGTAACTTAAGTAGAAGTCAAAGATGTTGTTTGTTGTAAATGTCTCCCTTACCTGTCACCTCTATCCACACCCTATCCACATCTAGCTACAATGAGAACAATCGTACTTACAAGACTCTTGACTCTGACTATTTGACCAAGTTAGACCCCAGTCACCAATATAGAAACTGAGCAGACAGACAATATCATCCTGTCAGCTCTAGGGAGCTGCTGGGGATTCTGCTTTCTGACAATCTATAATAAGAGGAATGAAATCAACTGAATGAGCTCTGACAGCAGTCATGTGTAAGGATCAGTTATATACCTATTCTGCTCATAGTTTTGTTATTACTTGACAAACCCAATATTCCTATATTAAATTCTACCCTTTGCCTACAAGTTTAATCTGAACTTCTTTCTATGTAAGTCTTGACTAATGAACATGAGTCTAAGAGATATAATGACAAATAAATCAAGAAACAGCAATAAACAATTAAAATGGAGGATTAAAAAAAGGCAGAATAAGTTTAGGTTGAAAAAAATCAAACTTGCCTTTTAAAATAGATTAGACGGAGACCTTATTCACAAAGGGCATATATTGCCTCCTCCTACCGTAAGTGCTAAGACTATATTGATAGATTAAAGTAAATATTCAATTTGGCAAACTCAGAGACAACATTTTTATCAGAGAAGATTTACCCTGGGCCTTATCTGAAGATAAGTGGAGAAATACTGTGATGTATAATATATATCTTTAATGAATTATGGATATTTGCTTTTACTCAAACATTGCTGGTACCTGACCAGAATACGCCTAGATGTATATACAGTGTATTACATTTGATCACTGACATTTTGCCAACTTTCAGCAATATAAAAACCATAGCTTTTCACCAATTTTCCCATATTTTTTATTTTTCTATGTGATACATAGTTTAGAACTGACTAGAGCTAACTGTTTAAAAGTACCATTTCAGATTTCAGACAGCACTCTATTAAGAAGTAAATGAAAGAAATTAATATGAAAGAAATCTTTCATACTACTGAGTGCGTAAAAGTATAACAAATTTGGGATGTATTTTTAATTATTTCCTATAGTAAGCTTTTTTGTGTTTTCTACTTCATGGTTTTGTTCTAGAGAGAAGGCCCTTGGCAATCACCCAGACTCCTAATTACTCTCCATAAAGTTCCACATCAACCTTTAGCCAAATGGCTTTAGCAGCCATTAACAGTCACTACTGACCTTCACTGTTTCATCAGAGGGCACAGAATCAGTGGTTTTTCTATTTCTCTATTATTCTTAGAGAATTTATTAACTCTACTGAGAACCTCACTAGAGGATGTTGAATAGATTATCTGATGTTTTAAGAGGCCAACTAGAAAGATACTATAAAAGTCCAGTAGAGAAATGAAGGAGACTTAGATCACAGCATTAACAGTAATAATAATAGTAAGTCGTTTTGATGCCAAGGCTGACACAACTTATTAATCCATTAGATGTATGACTGTGTAAGAAGGAATAAATAAGGATATTTCCTAAGTTTTTGGCCTGAACAATTAGCAGAGTGGAACTGTCATTTATGGAGATTAGGAAAAGCTAGAAATGGAGATTTCTATTTTTAGATGCCTTGAGCTTGACATTCATACAGTTAAGACACTGGGTGAGATTCTTCTATTCACATCTACAACAGTAACATAAACATCAGTTCAAAAGCCTCTTCAGATTACTTTCTAAATCCCAGCACTCCAGAGACAGAGGTAGGAGGACTGAGGCACGAAGGCCAGACTGGACTGATAGACCCTGTCTCCAAAAGAAGCAAAATAAAAAGTACTTTCTAGAACTGATTCTGGGGCTACTTTTCAATTCCAGATCAGTAAAAGCATCTTTCTTTTCTTTTTCCCTTCTCAAAGAATGTTGGCTGTAGACAAAGACGGCCATGTCAGCAATTTTTCCCTACATATGTACGTTCATGTTACTACCAATACTACACACATATACTTAATATTTTAAAGGATATTATTTCTAATCACTATGGAAAATGTAAACAATACTTAGATCAACTACCTTGATATGCTAAGTTATCTTAAGGAAAAAGAATGCCTCTTAGGTTTTAAGACTTAAAAAAAATAGAAGTTTATAACATATACACACACACATATGTGTATGTATGCATAGGGAAGGAGGGGGAGAGAGAAAGAGAGAGAGAGAATGAGAAAGATTTTATTATGTAGAGGAAGTAAAACAGCAGTAAGATAGAGAAGCAAATGTTGATAGAGTTCATCCAAACCTTGTTTGTATAATATTCCCCCACTTCAAGGAATTGAGCTATGTGGTCCCAGTGGTAGGTTATCTTCCCAAGTGATGGGTAACTGGAATAGCATAATTACTTTGTTCTGAATCTATACTCACCAAGCATCTCCCACCCCATTATTCTTTTCATAGCAAAAGAAAGTCCTTACCAAAAGATAAATAGTTCCTTGACAGTTATATTTCTAATCTTAAACTACTAAATTTATCATTTAGTTTTCTATATCTCCCCAATAATACTGAAGTGGAGATATCACTAATGTAGTTGCTTAAACAAAATTAATGTTTAAATGGGACACCAAAAGTAGCCATGTATGGGACAGGGGAGGGTGGAGTCTGTCTTATTCAGCTCTCCAAGTTCTGTGTAATGATATTTCATTATAGTACATTAATTTAGGTTGCGAGTACTTTTTTTCCTCCAAGGATGAAGTATCAGTTGTGTAGCATCATTTGAATCAACAAGAAGTCAGATCATAGTCTAAAAGCAGAAATTTGGTAGTGAATAATTATAAAGTACATTTCCAACAATCTTCAATAAAAATTGAGTCTTGGAAAGACAGAAAATCAGTGTAAGGACAATATTATAAAAACCTGACTCTTGATTATTGTTAAGTTTACAGAGAAATAACAATCTTTGCTTACTTTAGTTAAGAAAAGTCAGTATTTTATTGGCTTGACGTTTCCGACTATATATGATGTTACAAAAGCCAGGCTATAACAAGCTATTAATGCAATGGAGAGCAAAGAGAGACTTACATTTACTGAGTATTATAATGGGCCAGGAACTGAGCTGTCTTTGTATGTATTTGATTAAAAAAAAAATTCCTCTCCACAATACTCCTATGGAATACTGTTATGCCATTAGATATATCTTCACTGTCCAATAGAACAGCCACTAGGCTCTGCGGCTCTCAAGCACTTAAAATGCAGTTAGTTTGAACTTTGAAGGCTATAAAGTGTTAAATGCACACAGGATTTTGAAAACAGTACAAAAAATGTAAAATATCTAATTACAGTAACTAAGCTCTTTTCAACATATAGCCACAGTAAGCACAGATAAATAGCTTTT